CAAATGCTGAAGTTCTCATTTAGAGGAGAAGAGGAAAAGAAAGAAAGTGCAGTTGGGGTGTACAGACTGCTGGTGTCTCTTGTGGGGCGCCACAAAAGCAAAGGGCCTCTTGTGCCTCCGCAGAAGTTTCAAGTTGAAGAAAATTCGGAAGAAAGTGAGACACTAAAAAGAAACTTGTGGCGTTTGGCCCTTGGTCTTGGCTAAAGACTTATTTCTTGTCCAGGGCTTAGGGTTTAAGGTTTGGTTTGGTTCTTAGGGTTTAGGGTCTAGGGTCTAGGGTTTAGAATTTAGGGTTTGGTTTTTAGGGTTCAGGGTTTAGGGTTTAGGGTTTAGGGTTTGGGTTTTAGGGTTTAGGGTGTAGGGTTTAGGGTTGGGTGGTTTTGTGCAGGGGCAGAAGGCGCCATGGACACCGACGGTGCAGCAGAAGCAGCAGAAGGGAAAGACGCAGCAGCAGAAGGAGAGCAGAAGGAGGCTGCTGCAGCAGCAGACGCAGCAGCAGACGCAACAGCAGACGCAGCAGCAGGAGACGCAGCAGCAGCAGGAGCAGTGAACGGCAGCAACTCGCCGGCAGCAGCGGAAACGTTGGACGGAGAAGCTGCGGACTCAACAGCAGCAGCAGGCAGCGCAGCAGCAGCAGCAGCAGCAGAAGATGATACAGTGATGGAAGAAGAAAGCGAAAAGGGAGAACAAAGGGGGCCCCCCCGAGTTGTGGACACTTCCATTCTTGAGACCTGCTGTCGAGACACCTCGGGGGCCCCCTGGACCCCCGAGGAGGCCCTGAAGTTGTTTGTGTTTTGTCTTCTTTCTTTCGGAAGCAAAACACAAACTCATTTAAATAGAATTCTTTCGAATTATTTGCAAACTTTTATTTGTTTTGCAAACCAAAGTGAAGATCCGGCGGAGGCGCGCGAGCCCGAGGTGGACATACACCCCGCGGTGCTGCAGGCGGTGCAGAAGTTCTGGAGCACATCTCAGCAGCGGCGAGTTCATTTTTGAATTTTCGAACTCAAACCCTAATTTAGCGTGTAAAACTCGACAAAACCATTGCATTTTTGTCGAAATAAACCCCTTTTTGTGCCTCTTTTTCCCGGATTCCGCAGGACTGCACTCACTTTGCATGCGTTTCTGAAATCCGGAATTCTCCAAAGAGCCCGAGTGCTGCAGGAGTTGTGCGCGGCGGACGCAAACATCCGCGGTGTGTCTGTACACCCCGTGGCCCTGCAGCTTCTTTTCTTTGCGAGGGTTTGCCACTTTTGTTCTTTTTCTTCAAATCCATTTCCAAAACTTTCCAACTTTTGCGTCTGCAGACTCCTGGGGGCAGCTCGAGTTGGTTGAAACAGTTCTTAGAGGCGCCCTGGACGAGTGCGAAAATGCGTGCGTCGGCGCAGGGTTTAGGGTTTAGGGTTTACGGTTTAGGGTTTGGGGGTTGGGCGTTGTTGGAACTGGTTGCCGGTGTTTACGCTAATCTAGGGTTTAGAACTCGAGGGTTTGCGTTTCAGGAGAGAAGAAGCTGCAGCAGCATCGGCGCCAATGCCAACCAACACCGAAGCAGAACAGGTAGCGAAACTTGCCAAAACCCTAAACCCTAAAACAAACCCTAAACCCTAAAACAAACCCTAAACCCTCAAAGAGTCCCTAAACCCTCAGAAAAACCCCAAGCCTTCAAATAAACCCCAAACCCTCAAATGAACCCTAAACCCTGCAGTAAAGCCCCCAACTGCGGGTCCGGTGGTCTAGTTTATTTGACTGAATCTGTAGAGTCTTGTGACTTTTTCTTTTTTGTTTTTTTCAGTTGTTGCACTTTTTAATGGTCCATTTAATTGAAGATCTAATTAAGGAGACTTCGCCTGCGCGAAGTCGCTTTCTGTTTCTGCGCTGCATCTTCTTCGGACGCAAATATGCAGAATTTATTAATTTGCAAAAACTGAAAGAAGAGGTGAGCGGCGGCTCGCGACGCCCCGGTGGCTGGGGTGTACGTACACCGCAGCGCAGCAGCCAAGCCAGTAGCCGGGGTGTATGTACACCGCAGTGCAGCGCCGGCGAAGGCTGTGCAGCTTTCTTCGGAAAACTGACTCGTTTCAAGGACAAAATGCGGGTGTTGCGCGGTTATTTTGGTCTAGGGTTTAAACCAAACCGCTAGGGTTTAGGGCTTAGGGTTTAGGGTTTAGGGTTTAGGGTTTGGGTGTTTGGTGGCGCAGGTGGAGATGGTGCTGAGCGGCATCGAAGATCGGCGGGTTTCGAATTTGCTGATAGTGATTGGACAAGTGCAGAAGCATTACTGCAGCACTTACAAAGAATGGCAAATGAAAACAAATTCAGAAACTTGAAGAACTCGAAGGAAATAAAAAGAAATAAAAAGAAATAAAAAACGGAACATTTGCATGCACTTTGCCCAGTCTGCAAGTGCATGCGAAAAGGGCTTTTACGCTCTCCACTCGCAGCCCCAGACAATCAAAAACATGCAGAGAAAATTCGGAATTCAATCTTTTCATAAAACCCAATTGTCCGCTTTTTATGCATGCATGCAAACTAGAGGGAAGCTCTCTTAACAGAAGGAAAAAAATGTCTTTGTTCCATCTTTTTTCCTTATCACCACTCGCGACTTAGACGAAATACTTGAATCTGCACAGACTTCCTGAATTGCATGCATTTCTTGAAACAATTATCCAATTGTTTAGAGTTAGAATGTGCAAATATGATGTTCGCACACGGAGAGAAAGTGTTGCAAGTAATCGATTTGCCAAATACTTCTTGCATTCTTTCTTTTCCTGAGGTGTACGTACACCCTATAGCTACTACAAGTTGAACGCACCATTTTGCGGCGGAAGAAGTTCATTTTGTTTCTTCATTTGTTTCAATTGAGGCTGGTGCTCTGCGAGCTGTCTCGTTTTCCTATTGTTTGTCTGAATCTGCTATGGAAGTTGTTTTAAATTAAATGGACTTCTGCAGAAAAGTGTTTAAGTGCTTTCCGGCGAAGTCGATTTCCGCCGCCCGGGCGTCAGTGGCTGTCTTTCGGGTTCCGTCTTTTTGTTTTTGAGTTTTTGAGCTTTTTAAATTTGACTTTTTCGTTTTTCGAGACTGTCTTCGCGTAATTTCCGCTTTTCGGGCTGGCGCTGCAGCCGTGGCTGCTGCGGAGTCCACTGGGCGCGCCGCAGCGCAGGAGCGGGTGGCAGCAGCAAACAGCAGGCAGCAGCAGCAGCAGCAGCAGCTTTTTCGCGCTGCAGCAGCAGCAATTTGCAAAACTGGAAAGCTGGGAGCAGCAGATTTGCTAAGGAGGCTCTCAGCAGCAACTGGCTGGCGGTGGCGCCGCGCGGAGGCGGGGAAAGCGCAGCTTTCTGAATCCGGAGTTGAAAGATTTTGAATCCAAACAAGTAAGAAGTACTTTTAAAAGGATTTTAATTCCCCTTTTCAGTGTTTTGCTGCAGCCTGGCGAGGAGCGGGGGTCCCGTCTCGTGCTGGGGCCTCGAGAGGCCGCGGCTAACCGAGGACCAGCCAGGGCCCCCGCAGGGTTTAGGGTTTAGGGTTTAGGGTTTAGGGTTTAGGGTTTGTGTAAAACTCCTTTTCCACAGTTTTAATGCCTTCTCTTCGCTTCACCGCTGGTCAAGACCACTGGACCACTCCGCAGGAAACCCTGCAGCAGCAGCGAACTTGTCCTGCAGGCCCCCGGCTCTGGGGCGCACCAGGCGTGGCCGAGGGTTTAGGGTTTAGGGTTTAGGGTTTAGGGTTTGAGATTTTATGAAACCTTTTCTCCAAACCCTCAAACCGCCCCCGTAAACACACCTGCTGCCTCTGCAGCCGGCCGGCTGGCCCTCCCGAGAGCGCAGCCGCCCTTCTGCCACACAAACCCTAAACCCTTTTCCCAAACCCTAAACCCTAAACCATCGCGGCGCGCCGAGGCTGCTGCTCCCCGCAGCAGTGCTTCCGCGGCTGGCCGCGGCGAGGGTTTAGGGTTTGCGCCGGGGGTTTGGCCGAGGGTTTCGTCTCAGGGTTTGCAAGCTTCCCCGCAGCAAAAGGTATGGCGAATCCGTGTGCCCCAAACCCTAAACCCTAATTTAGAGTTTGCGAAAATGGAAGGGCCTGAGGGCGCCAAGAGGGGGGATGGTCACTTCCTTCCGGCGGCTGAGTGGTCCATTGGTTCCGTGGGCCCGCGGGAAGCTTCTGCTGCAGCAGCGGCTGCTGCTGCTGCTGCTGCAGCAGCAGCAGCAGCAGCCAAAGGCGACGGCAGCAGCAACAACAGCAGCGCCTGGGGCACACGCGGCATCCTCCCCGACCTCTCTGCCCGCTTTGCTGCAGCAAGACGCAGCAGCAGCGCGAGCGGCTCGCTGCAGAAGTATGCTTCTTCTCCGTTGCCGTATCAGCAGCACGCGCAGCAGCAGCAGCAGCAGCAGCTGCTGCTGCAGCAGCAGTTCGCGAGCCTCGCGCTGCACCCCTGCAACACGGAAAGCGACATCATAAACGCCTTCGAGGACGAGACTGGGGGCGGCGCGCCGATGCTGCAGTACGACACTTCGGCGTTTCTGCTGCAGCAGCAGCAGCAGCAGCAGCAGCAGCAGGCCGCAGCGGAGCCCGACTTCGTGAAGCGGCAGCCAACCTACGTGCAGGAGAAACACCCCATCTCCAGCAAGTCCTTTCAAAGACTCATAATTAAACAATTTTCTTCTGTTCAGATGTCTGCTTCTGCAATAAGACTTTCGAAAGCTTTCAACGGCTATTTGCTCGAAGACAGCACTGGGGAGTTGGGCATAGACCGGCTTCCCCTGTACCACGGTGCGGCGGAAAGCTCTGTCTTTTTCGTTTTCAGTTGCTGCTAATTGTTTTTAACTTTTTTAATTCTTTTTAATTGTTTTAATTTATTGTTTCGAGTTCTAAATTCGACAGTTTTCCGCGAAGTTGTAGTCGCTGGGGTTCCGAATTCTGCACTGAGGCTTGCAGGAAAGCTGCATTTCTCGTTCAGAAAATCGCGTTTGGAGGCGATCTTTGGTGTTTTCCGTCGCTTTTCGTTTCAACTTTGCGTTTTTTGTGAATTTAATTGCGAAATTTGCATATTTTTGGGGTTGATCGCGGAAAAAGTGGTTGAAAATGGCGGAGTTTCGGGGTTTTGCAGGAAACGTGCACACGGCGCCGGGGAGCTCGTGGCCGCGGTGCCGCGTGCGGTGGAGCGCGCGGTACTTCCTGCTGTACAGAGGCCACTGGTTTTGGTTTCGAGACCGAAGGGCTTATGAAGTGGGAGGTTTAGAAGGTTGTTTGGGGTCTGTTTCTTTGATAATAAACCCGCTTTCCATCGACCTGGACCCCCGCTGCTCCACGCGTTTCAGCCTCTGCATCGAGGGCTGGTGCAGCATTGTCGTGGACACCAGTGTGCAGCGCCAAGACCGCGGCGCCTGGGTTGTTCACTTCCTCGCCTACGCGAACAAGGTCCTTTCTTCTTTCTTTTCTTCTTTTATCCTTTTCTTTTCCTTTCTTTTTGTCTTTAGTTGTTCTTTTCGATCAGTGTTTCTGTGGGGTTTCTCGCGCTGTCTTCGTTTGCCGCCGTCTGGAGCTGTGGCTGCCTCTGCATGCGTTTCGGTGTTCTTGAATTTTCGCGTTTTCCCCATTTCTCAGATTATTTGGGTGGGGTTGTTTAAACTTGCTTGTGTTTCTTTTTTCTCTCTTATTGTTTTTCGTTTCGCTTTCTGTTTTTCCCTTTTCCTCAGTCTTCTACTGCATTCATTTGCCAGTCTTCTTGTATCTTTGCATCTGCATGCAAGACAGTTTCTCGTTTTCTCTTCTTTTTCTCAATTTCTCGCTTTCTTCTGTTTCACATTTTTGTTTCTTTTGGTTTTTTCGTTTGCATTTCCCTCCAGTTTCTCTCATCTTTTTTTCTGATTTTCAGATTTTCACGTTTAGGTGTGTGCGTAGACCCACGTGCATGCAGAAGTTGAACTGCATGCACGGAATGCATGCATCCGTTTGCTGCATACGCGACTTTTCTCTTTAAAATTATATTATTATTTAATATTAAATGATAATTATATTATTATTTAATATTAAATGATAATTATATTATTATTTAAGTGTTTTTGCTTTTTCTGTTTTTACTTGTACTCTATTTGCAGGGGGAGCAGCTCAGGGAGAAGTTCCCCGAAGTCGACTGGGAAGAACTTTGCCGCCGCTGCCGTCTGGCGGTGCGACAAGCCAACGAACATTCTTAGCTGCAGCAGCAGCAGCAGAAGCAGCAGCGGCAGCAGCAGCAACAGCAACAACAATAACAGTAGCAGCACGCGAAAAGCAAGGTTATATGACTGCAGCGTTCCCGAGCTTCTGAACAGTTGAGGCAAACAGCACGAAGAAGAAAACACTTCTTCTTTGTTGTTTCTTCTTTCCGTCTATTGACAGCCGCAAGCAGCAGCAGCAGCAGCAGTTGCTGCTGCTGCTGCTGCTTGTGCAGCACGAAGAAAGACTTTTCTCTTCGTTGTAGGCAAAGGCCACCAACGACTAGTGCCTTGTGTACAAATACCCAACAGCGCTCCGCCCCCGGCTGGGGGCCCCCACCCCTCCAGCTGGGGGCCCCCCGGGCCTGGGGGGCCCCCCAAGGGCCCCCAGGGGCTTCAGGTGCTTCTAGAAGCTTCTAGGGGCCCCGCAGCAGCGCCACTTGCGCCTCAGGGGCCCCCCAGCCCCAAAGGCGGCACTGGGGGCCCCCCTTTAGCTGCATGCGCTGCAGTCTTAGGGATTTCCTGCTGCTTTGCGTGCTGGAAATGTTAGTCAAAAAAGAGTGCCGTTTGTGATCCGTTAGGGTCTGCGGATTTCCTGAGAGTTTTATGTGTACGTACACCTGAAGTGTGTGCTGATGGAAACGAGGTCACAAAAGAAACTTTAAAGAAAATACTTTTGTGCAATTAGATGTGCCATGAAGAACGCAGGAAAAGATAAATAGTTGAAGAGATCAGGTGATAGGCTCAAAACAGTAAGTAGGTGGTTTTGAAGTGGGCATTCTTGCAGCTACGAAGCGCTTCAAAGCCCTAGCAACATGGGCAGCTGCTAGCTAGCTGCAGCAGCAGCTAGCTAGCTGCTGCTGCAGGTAGCTAGCTGCAGCAGCGGCTAGCTAACTGCAGCAGAGGCAAGCTGGCTGCAGCTTATCTTGTCGAGACTCTTCTTTGGTTTCGAAGGAAGCAGAGCCTTGCTGTTCATGAATTAAAAGGTAAATCATCTCAGAAATATGCTGGAGAGCTTCGGTAGCGTTTTAAAAAGTAGAAAACAATTTGGAATTGATCGCGAGATAAGAAAGGAAGCAACTGGAATGGCTGGCGGCAGCACACAGCATTTTTCAGCTGCGTATTTGGTGCAAAGATCCTCTAGAGATGTTCCTTTTGCATTTAAAATGTGTTTTTTGTATTTAAAACGAAATTTAGTTTAATTTTACGTGAAATATGAGGGGCAAAAAAACATTTAGGAGCTGGTCTGGGATTCTGGAACGCCATGCGTGCGAACAGCGGTGGATACAAAGAAAATGCAAGACAAGAAAAGTGCCAAAATTTGTTTTAAATAAATAATATACAAATAAAATACAAAACAAAAAAGGCCAAAAGATTGTTTTTAGACAAAATAATCCGAAATCTTTGCACAAACTGTTTTGCCTGTTCTGTGCAGCCAAGGCTGGCCGAGCATGCACTTGAGCTAGAAAAGAAGGGAAACCAGACACTCAACGCGATGACACTGCGCTCAAACGTTTTATTTGAATATTTTAATTGCAATAAATAAAAGAAAGTGAAGAAAAAGAAGTGAAACTTCGTCACGAAAGACCGAGCGCGAGTTGGGGGCCCCTATGGGGCCCCTCCGCTGTGCAGGAGGAAAGCCTCGTAAAGTAGTGTTTAAAGTCTGAGTTTCTTTTCTAAATGTCTTTTATTTATTGTTTTCACTCTTAGATTTGCGCCTTATGGGCCTCTTGAGCCAGCTTCCGAGGCCTAGGGTTTGGAGTTCAAGTGTAGGGTGTGGAGTTCAAGACCGAAAGCTGTTCCGATCATCTTGAAGAATGCAGAATGCGTGGTGCGCGATTCGCGGGGCGGTCAACGAAATAAATGCGGTGACTCAAAACCCTAATAACGCCTAAACCCTAAACCCTAAACCCTATACCCTAAACCCTAAACCCTCGTACGGAGCCCGGAAGGCGAGCCCAGCCCAGAGCTAATGCTGGGGTCTAGGGTTTAGATCATTTTCTGAATTAGGTGCTGCTTTCTGAAGATGAAGACGAGGAAGAAGAAGAAGAACAAGAAGACTTGGGGGCCCCCCAGAGGGGCCCCCCGAGAGATTTGCCGCTGCTGCTGCAGCAGCAAAAGGCGCAGCACGAAGCTGTAGCGCGGCAGCTGGAGCTTTCAGGTGCACGTACACCCGAGCCCCTGAACCTGTGCAGCTCTTCAGCTCCTTTAAAGTTCATTTCTTTTATTTCCACTTCTCATTTTTTGAGTTCAAATTTTTTTTCGCAGAGGCCGAAACTGCCAAGTATGCGCAGCAGCTC